AATGTCATAGAATATCACTGCTCTGTAAGAAACAATGAATATGCAGAATTCAGAGATACATGGGGAATAAAGACTTATGTGAACTGATACAGGGGTAAAATAAGCAGAACCAAGAAAATGACATATACAATGACTGCTGCAATGCAAACAGAAATGATAAATGAAAATTGAATATTGTGCAATTATATCTTGCTAATAGCCATACTTTTTTCCTCTCTACAAGCACCCCAGACCTCCTCTATCGTGTCTCAGCTCTTCACTCTGAAGCTTCCCTCCAGCTCCAGAATCCACCCATAAGAAGTACCTTCCACACCGGCAGCCTCTCCCTCCAATTGGATGGTGCCTCCTAAAACCTCCATTTAAGGAGAAAGGCCAGCCCAGGCAGCCCTCTGCCTTCTCCAAGCTGCACACTTGATGTTTTTCAGTCTCCCCATCCCCTGAATCTTCCTTTTATGTATTTCCTTCTCTCCCCACTCCTCTAGAAAAATCTCCTTGAGAGCAGGGATTATCTTTCTATAAAGAGTTTACTCTTCTGAGAGTTCTCTATCGCAATTAAATCACAGTTCTAATCCCAGTCTCCATCTGCTTTGGTTTTGTCTCCCCAGTTCCTGACACACAGTGGGTGCTTAATAAATGCTTTTTGTTTCCTTAAAAAAAATTATAGTAGTAAAACTACAATAAAGTGATCATTCTGAGACTAGGGGTAGCAACTCTGAAATGGGAAAGGGAACCATTTCAAGTAAAACAAGCCACACCAAAATGTACACACATATTTTTTAAGTGAACATGATTCAATAATTTATGTATGCCTACATGGAGAGGGGATGAGGAAGCACGTCTGTAGGAAAGGGAGGAAACTAGGATAGGATTATTGTAAGCAAAACAGGCTCTGGGTACTTAGAGCTGATTTTTTGTTTTCATATTACCCTCATTTACAAACATATTCCATTCATTCCCCTCCTCAGGGGACCATTCTTTGCAACAAAGATTAAAAAGAGAAAAATTATTTATGCAAAACCAATTAACCTATCAACTGTGTTTGACAACTCCATAGCCATTATAACCCACCTCTGCAAAGAAAGGAGGATGAACACTGATTTTAACATTTTTTTTAATTTTTAGAGGGGAAAAATAGTTATAACATCAAATATTAATGGTGTAAACCCAAAATGTTGGAGGGTTGTAGAAGAGACTAGAAAACAGTAAACAACATCTTGTTCTATAAAAGAAACAACAGACAGTTAAAATAAAATGAAAGACTAAAGTAGAAAATACTAAACTTCAGCTGGATTTCTTTTAAAAAGAAGGGGCACAGCCACTTTGGACAAGCCAAAAATACAATCAAGAAAATCAAGAAAATTACAATGCAAAGCTACCAGAAATGAAACAATAGCAATATGAAATTTATATGCACTGAATGCCATACCTTTTTCTTTAAATACTTAAGAACTAACTGCATTACATAAAGACTCCATTTAGAAAGATGTTCATTGGGCACTTAAATGTAAAAGAAAGAGAAAAATTATATCTGAAAAAAAGATAATTGTAATTATTGCTAGCATCATATAAAGCCCACTATGCTAATAAGTGTTTTACAAATATTATCTCATTTGATCTTAACAACTTTTATAACTGAGGAAACTGAGGCAAAGAGAGGTTAAGTGAATTGTCCCAGGTCACACAGCTAGTAAATGTCAGAGGCCATATTTAAATTCAGGTCTTCCTGACTCCAGGCACATTACTCTACCTACTGTGCAACATAGCTACCTCAACATAGACCTTTACTGATCACTGAATAGAAATCTTTGGACACTTATTTTTTTAGAGCCTTGATAAAAAAAAATAGATCATTGAACAATCACATGAAAGATAGCTCCAAATTACTAAAAAGTACAAATTAAAACAACCCTAAAATTTTATCTCATATTCAGCAAAATTAAGACATTAAAAATATTTTGAAATAAAAATATTTCAATGATGGAGAGGCTGAGAGAAGACAGGAACTAAAAATACATTGTTGGTGAAACTGTGAAATGGCCTAATTATTTTGGAAAGCAATTTGGAACCATGTAAGGGGAAAAATAAAATGGCCATGCCTTCTGATCCAGATGATATGTCAAGAAACAAGGTCCCATATGAAGCAAAACATTCATAGCAGCACTTTTTGTCGTATCAAAGAGCTTTAGTTAAAGTAAGTATGCAAGACCTGGGTAATATCTAAATAAATCCCACCTGTGATGCTCACTGCCTCTATAGAAAAGTCATTGTAAATGAAGGGTTTGGATTTGACAGCACTTAGGTCCGTTTGCCACAAGAAACAATAACTGAAGAATTAAGGGAAACATGGGAAGATTCATGAAAACTGATACAGCAAGCAGAACTAGGAAAATACATATGGATTTACAACATAAATGCAAAGAAAATAATGAAAATTTCACATAATGACCAAGTTTAGCTCTAAATAGAAGAGTTGAAGCAACATACATGCTTCACCGAGGAGATAAGAGGAAAACTAAATGTAGGATGTGGCATGTGCTATCAGGTACAGCTTGTGTATTGGTTGGTTTTGCTGAACTTTTTCACCCCTTTTTTCATCTTTGTTACAAGGGAAAGAAAGCACAATTCAGAAATGAATACAATATAAAAATAAAAAAGGTAATAATAATGGGCTGTGGGCTAGAACAAAGATTTTCATAAATGAAACAAGGAAGACATACTAAAAGTATTAATGGGATCATAAATACTGTGTAAGAACAAATCATAAAAATTAAAGAAAATAATGAGAAACACAAAAATCTGTGGTACAAAGTTAAAGATATCCTTAATATTTCCACTTGAGAAAAAGGGAAAAGAGAGCTCAAAGCAAAACTGACAAAAGATAAAGATTACTGAATTGAGCCTATAACAACAACAACAAAATCAAGTCAAAGAAGTAAATATAATTGAAAACAAAAGACTTTAGTTGATAAAAATAAAGTTGGTTTTGAAAAAGTCAATAAAAGAGGCCACTAGGTAAAAGAAAGAAAAACTAGATTGCCAAAAATCAACTCTCAAGGGTAGAGAGATAGGAAAATCCTGATACAGATGGATTTACAAGTAGATTCTAGAAAATATTTAAAAAGCAACAATTTCCACTACTGCATAAACTGGTTGAAAGGGGAAGGGGGAGGGAGAATGAAGGTACCTTACTAAACTCCTCAGACAAATATGGTTCTGCTAGCTAAACCAAGAAAAGAAACCAGAAAGAAAACCACATATTCAGTAATGAATACTGACATAAAACTATTGATTAGCAAATAGACTAAAGAAATATGTTTAAACAAATATTTACTATGAACAGTGAATTTGATCCAGGAACGTTGATTGACTTATGGTTTTATGGAAAAATGTTAACTGTAGTGACGAGATGAGAAATTGAGGCAATATGCACAGAACTAAAACGAAGCAAAATGATTTTGCTTGGAGATATATTTACTTAGAAAGCCAACAACAAATGGAGGGAAAAAGGTTCCATTTAAGATAATAAAATGCATGAAAACATCTGGCAGTTAACCTACCAAACCCAAAATGTACATAAATAAAACCGCAAGCCAATTTATGTAAACAAGAGAGACCTAAGTTGGAAATTCTATTTTTATTCACAATTGGGCTATGCAAATACATTAAAAATGATAATACTCAAAGTACTCAAGATTTAGTACCACACCAAAATTATAAAAGGAAAATTTTATAGAATGAAGAAGAGTATGAAAGGAGAGCAGCTTAATGCTACGATATCACAAACTACAAAACAAAATAGTACTAAATAAAAGAAAAAAGGAAGACCTAAAAAAATGCACAAAGAATCTAGGTTTTTTTTCAACCACAAAGAACACAAACTACTCTGGAAAAATCTTCAATGGATAAGAGCTGTTGAAAAAGCTGGAAAGTAGTCCAATTGAAAGTTTTAAGCCAGTATCTTACAATATATATGTCACAATAAATCCTAAGTGAATGAATGATCTACACAAGAAAAGTTGCACAATTTTTAAATAGCAAGAAAAAAGAAGACAACTACAGGGCATAGTGGATGGAATGTTAGTATCAAGAAGACCCAAGGTTCATAATCTGTTTTTGGCAAGTCAAGGTCTCTCAAATCCAACTTCTTCATCTATGAAATGGGGATAATATCAGCACTTATAAGCTCACAAGACTGTAGTGAGGATCAAACAAGAAAATACATGTAAAAACATTTTGCAAACCTCAAAGTGGTTTTTGTTAGTCATTTGTGCCTTTCTTTGTGTGATCCCATTTGGGGTTTTCCTGGCAAAGATACTGGAGTGGTTTGCTATTTCCTTTCCAGCTCATTTTATAGACAAGGAAACTGAGGTAAACAGGGTTAAATGACTTGCCCAGGTTCACACAACTAGTTAGTGTCTGAGGGTAAATTTCAAATCAGGAAGATGAGTCTTTCCGACTACAGGCCCAGAGCTTTATCTACTGTGCCACTTAATTGTCCTCTCAAAGTTCTAAATGACAACTAATATTATAATCAGATATGGGTGAGAAGGGATTATACAAAACAGAATCTCAACTATATACATTTAAAAATTTTATTTTTTCCAAAATAACAAAAATCTATAATATTCTTTCCCTCCCATCTCCCCCACCCCTGAAAGAAGAGAAAAGAAAAGAAACTCTTACAACAAAAATGCACAGGTAAGCAAACAATTCCTACATTGGTCATGTCCCCAAAATATAGGTTTCATTCTAGAATCTGGGTCCATCACCTCTCTGTCAGGAGGTAGATAGCATGCTCCATCATTGGTTCTCTCTGGAATCACATTAACTAAAAAGCTTTTACACAAATGCAACCAGAATCAGAAAACACATGAATTACAAAAAAAAAAGAAGAAAGTCTAGTTAGAACTCTGTCCCACCTTTAAATGCTAATCATTAACACTGTCGTGAGAAAGATACTCATTAATTACATCAGTAAAGCTCTTTTCAGTATCTCTTACCTCTTGTGGTTGTATCTCAGGCTGTGTATGTTCCATAAGAGATTCTAGGGAAAAAGGAGAATATGTTAGGTGAAATTCACACAAAGATTTTTTTTTTCCTACACTGGATCACTAACAACTATTTCTTGTACTAAAAGTATTCATAAACATAACAATGTTTTTTACTTGTCACAATATATGATCCAAAATCATAAAGTGGTCCACCACTAGCCTTTACTCTTTATGGTACAGGTTTTATGTTTTATGATGAACTTAACTTGGTAGTTTTCATTAAAACATGGCTAAGTCATATTCCCTCCTATTGAAAGATGAGTTTCCTCATTAAGCCCTCATATCTTCAAATACTTACTATGGGGAGTCATAGCACAGGTCCCACAAGAAAAGGCACTTGGCAAGGGTATCCTGGAACCAGCTCATATTGGTTTGCATAAAACAACTCTTAAATTTTCAGTGTGAGCATTTTTACCTTAGAAATCAGCAAACACTACAAATCGAGGCTTCATTTATTGTACTGATTGTGTACTCTAGACTTAAAGTGGTAAAGAAAACATTAGTAGTGCAGATTAAGCTTAAGTGTGGGGTGTATAATTTTGTTGACAAAGTCATTAAACATTTACCAGCATGATCCTGGGTTAATCCAAGTAAATAACAGCTATAATCCAAACAGACAGAAGCACCAGTAGCATCTCCCAAACCCAAGTGGGGGCCAAGGAAAAGTATGGCACTGAGTTTGGATGGTAATGATAAAAGAAAGAACACAAGAGGTACACCTCCTTGGATTATAAAAGAATTCACCCTTTCCTTTCAATAAAAAAGTTCATTATCTGTGTCAAATAAGAATTGTGCTTTTAAGTTGATCATACATCAGGTTAGAGGAAAATTATTTCCATAGATGCATAAAAAAACTTCTGACAAAATACAACATTTATTTATGCTAACCATAGCAATAAGGAACAAAAACAAAAAACAAAAGGTAAAAGCTTCGATCTTATAATAATTGTTTCCTTAACCATTCAACATCACAGTAACATGTCTATGTTCTAACCAAAGAGGCCAAAGTTGCTCAGTTCTATGAAGACTTACAAGAGATTTCATCAAGAAAATTAGAGATATCAAGGGAATATTTCATGCAAAAATGGGCATGATAAAAGTCAAAAATGGTAGGGACTTAAAAGAAGGAGAAGAGGTTAAGAAGTGGCAAGAACACACAAAAGAACTATACAAGAAAGATCTATAAGAAACTATATAAGAAATATCACCAATAACCTATAAGCACAATGGTGTGGTTAGTGATCTAGAGCCAAACATTCTAGAGAATGAAGTCAAGTGGACTTTAGGAAGCATTGCTAACAATAAGGCTGGGGAAGTGATGGAATTCCAGCTGAGCTATTTATAATTCTAAAAGATGATGCTGTTAAAGTATTGCCCTCAATATGCCAGCAAATTTGAAAAATTCAACAGTGGCCCCTGCATTGGAAAAGATCACTTTACATCCCAATCCTAAAGAAGGGCAATGCCAAACAATTTTCAAATTACTAAATTTTTTATTATGCTCATTTCACACACCAACAAAATTATGCTTAAGATTCTGCAAGCAAGGCTTCAGCAACATATGAACCTAACATTACCAGACACACAGTCTGATTTTTGAAGAGGCAGAGGAATTAGAGGTTAAACTGCCAACATTTGCTGGATTATGAAGAAAGCAATGGAGAGCCAGAAAAAAAAAAACTACTTTTGTTTCACTGGCTACACTACAGCCTGTACTGTGTGGATCACAGCAAAATGTGGCAAGTCCTCAAAGAGATGGGAGTACTGTTTGAAGGCTCTATTTTAGAAAACGGATACAATTTCTAATGGCTATGATGGTACAAGTTCCATTGGCCTGAGTAAGGCACCCAAGGATCTAACTCTAAACTCAGAGAATATGAAATACATGAATGAAGAGGGTATGATATGGGATACTGCATACTTTGGAAGTAGATTTGGAATAACAATGTTTGCAATGCAGACTGTGCGGAATGAAAAATAAATCTACAAGTATGGTGATGATTTTAAGTGAAATTGTGGGTCACTTACTATTTGAAACAAAACAAAAAACTGTACCCCATCTTCTCATTACTGTCCCCAAATATTTTTCTCTAAATAAAAGCAAATACGCTATTCTTCCCTTCTCACCCAATCCTTCAAAATACTCTATATCCAAATGTTTGATTGGCTCATTCTATGACTTAATGAGAACTCAAAATATGAATGAAAGGGATGATAGAACTGTTTCATTGACATAGAACCATATTAACAAGAAGTATTAGGTTGGAAGAAAAAAAATCATCTTACTTGTCTCCTAAGGAGCCAGGATACAGGTCAAGAAGCAACAATTAGAACTGAACATGGAACAACTTATTTGTGAAGGTGATTAGGGAAGGAGTATGACAAGTCTGTGAATTGTCACCTTATTTAACTCATATGTGAATATATCATGAAAAATATATAATGAATATTGAATGGGGAAAGGGGTGAAGGGAAAGAGAGAATTTAGAACTGAAAATAAAGTAAAATTTAAAAGAAAGAAAAAAAGAAAAAGGCAGAAGAAAGGAAGGCCCACAGAATCATCAATGAAACTGAGATGATTAATAGTTAAAAGATGGTAGGATACAGCATAAATTCACAAAAATCATTAGCATTTCTACGTAGTACTAACAAAAGCCAGGGAGAAATAAGAGAAATTCTACAGAAAGCAGCTATAAATACCATGGACAGCTGGGAGTTAACAAATTAAGATATATAAGATTTATATGAATATAAATATATCATGCTTCACAGAAATAAAGGAGATAAACAACTGGAGAGATTTCACTGTTCATAATTGGGCTATATCAAAATAATAATTGCCAATACTAATTATAATACAGATTTAGTAGTAAACCCAAATTAACATGGAACATATTTTTAAAAATTAATTCTGAACTTAAATACTATGCTTTTCTACTATATTCTCATCCAGGGGCTCTCAGGACTACTTTTTATTCTTGCTGCCTCTGAACACAAGATACGTACATCTTAAAGGCTACATACGTCCCGTCTCTGGTCATGTTGACACTCACTTTGCCAGAGGTGTACCTTTCCCTATTGCCTGTGGTCTTCTAACTGACTTTTTGGCAGGTCTGGGGCAGAAGGCATTTGCTATAATCTTTAATTGGATTTCTTTATTCTTATGCAGTCTGGTGAGAACTTTAGGCTTTTACTGAAATAGGTATGTGGGAGCAGGCACACAGATGGAGCTGTGTTGGTGAAGATGTGAACTAATACCGCTGTTCTGGATTTCAGTTTGAAATTACACAATAAAAGTGACTAAACTATCTATTCCTTTTCTCTCAGCAATTCCACTATCCTGCATATAGCCGAAAGAATTAAAATAAAACATACACATGTATGAGGCAGCTACGTGGCACAGTGTATAGACACTGGGCTTGGAATCAAGGAAGACTCAGCTTCCTGAGTTCAAATCCAACTAGACACTTACTAGTTGTATAATCCTGGGCAAACCACTTAACCCTATTTGACTCAGTTCCTCATCTGTAAATGAGCTAGAGAAGGAAATGTGAGACCACTTTACCAAGAATCTTTACCAAGAAAACCCCGAATGCAGTCAGGAAGAGTCAGACACAACTGAAATAATTGAACATATACAAGTACATCAAAATATCCACAGCAGCATGCTTTGTGGTAGCCAATCACTAGAAACAAATAAGTGCCATTGAACTCGGGAATGGCTGAAAAAAACTACAGTATATGAATGGAGTGTTCTTGTGAGACAAGAATTAGTCAATATATGGAAACATATTTATGAATTGATACACAGGAAAATAAGCAGATTCAAGAGGATATACACAAAGACTTCAACCACGTAAGTGAAAAGATGACTAAAAAGAAGTTGAACTCCATAAGGGAAAAAAACAAAAAACGTCCTGGAAAACATATTTTTTTAAAAAAATAGCTCCTACATGGGTAGAGGAACAAGAACTACTAAAGTAGAATATTTATATTGTCAGACAAGATTTCCGTACTGGATGTTTTTGCTTATTTTTCTTTGTCACAAAGGAAGGTTCAATCTGGAACAGGTGATGGGAAATAACCGACATAAAGACAAGAAGTATCACTGAAATTTTTAAAAGGAAAAAGTACCAAATGAGCTACACAATTCCCAAAGAAATAAAAAACAGTAAGGGAACAAAGCAAAAATATAATCAATCCAATTGCCCATATGGTACAGGAAAGAAAGGTTATTTAAACGGTGATAATTTTAAGATAACTAATATTATGTTTTCCAAATCAATTTTTCTTATCAACAAAGTAATAAAATGCTGCATTTTTTTTTTCTGCAAGGCAATTAGGTTTAAGTGGCTTGCCCAGGGTGACATAGCCAGTAAGTGTCAGGTGTCTGGTCTGAGACCACATTTGAACTCAGGTCCTCCTTACTATCCACTGCACCACCTAGCTGCATTTTAAGCATTTAGAGTGTTACTAAAATGTTCTTTGCTTTCCAGAACTCAAGAATGCTACACTACTCTTTTGAAAAATATGCACATCAAAAAAGAATTTGTAGGATGAATTATAACCATGAGTTGGAATGAAGTAGACACATTACAATGATTAACAGAAATTATACTGCATAATTTTGCTAGACTGCTTTAAACTGTTAGTGGTAATTATGTATATGTGATCTGAAAATTAAGAATGTATTTCTGAAAGAAATAAACCTGGATAGAACCTGGGACCTATTATATAAAACGCTTTTTATAAAATACAAAATACATCATCATTTTATAATTGAGTTTATAAATTTTGTGTTATTTTATGTTTTATTAAAGACTTGCTTTGTATTTTTTTTTAATGAAGGGAGGTGTGTTTTACTACTTCGAAGGAGATGGGATTATCCCATTTTAAGTAATATTTTGAGGTTATCTGTTCCCTGTCAACTTTTTCCAGGTTCTACTATACTTGAATTTGGACAAAACAAAAGTCTATAATAGAATGATTCTACTAATAATTTTTAAAACTTCTTATTTTAATCAGTGTTTTCCAAAAGCAACATAATTCAGCATTAAAAGCATAACCTAGAATTTCTTTTAAGGTTCCCAGCCTAAATAGCATCAGTCTAGCATTAAGACAAGTTTTTCCTAAATAAAAGGCTATCCAGCAACAAGTAAAGATTTCCCTGATTATGGATAACAAATATGTACAAGTGGCTTAGAAAAGGCTAGATGATTCACACTGATTAGTATAAAACACAGAATTAAAAATTCTACTATTCATAGCAAACCTGATTCTTTAACAGATTCTGTCTGTAATAACTGTTTCTTCTCTGATTTTCCTCGGATTTCTTCATCCAATTCTTCTTTTTGCTTTATAATGTTGTTTCGGGGAACTGGAATACTTTCAAAATAGCCAGAGGTCAGCAGTTTAGACAATAGATCCTTCATGTGTTTGTCTAAGAAAGAGGGCCATTAAAAGGATTAGAAACCTTGCAACCTTTAGTTTGCAAACACACACACACTCATAAGATATGGGCACAGTGAAATTAAAAAAATAAAAAACAAAAAGAATTGTAGTTTAACCTCAGATATGACAGAAGCCCATTTTTCTTCTATAAGAAGAGGCAGGTATTAGAACAAAACTGGTAGTTACCTAAGAACTAGTCCATTTCTATGCCATGCAGAGTTTCATGCACAAAAACAGAATGCAAACTGGTTTGGCAAATCATTTAACCCAGGCTCCTATAACATGATGGACTAGCTTAAGGATTACTAGTTGGTCCATTATGAAATTGGAGTCTACCATGAGGCACAGCTCACACAATCCGTTCTCTATAAACTCTTACCCAAAGTCATCAATCAAGCACGTACTACGGGCCAGGCAATGGAAATACAAAGACAAAAACACAATATGCTCTTCCCTCAAATAATTTATATTCTATTAAAAAGAGACAACATACAAATATCTACAAACACACACACATGTATATGCTTTCATATGTAGGGTAAACTAAGAAGAGTGGCAAAGAGAAAACCCAGAAAGGCCTCATGCAGAAGATGGCAGTAGCTAGTGAAGGATGGAATGGAGCAGGGAAAGGATTGAAGCAGAGGGACCGATTAGAAAGCTACTGATCTAGTAAAAAGGTGAATAACGCCTAAACTAGAGTGGCAGCCATGTGGGCCGAGAGAAAGAGATTCAAGGGAGAGATGCTGAAGACCAAAAAATGACAAGTTTTGGCAACTGATTGGATCAGGGAGAATGAAGCATCCAGGATGATGACCTTGTGAGGGACTGGAAGGAAGTTCTCCATTAATTCTAATGGAAAGAATTGAAGTCATTATGTGAAATAGTATATAGAGAAAAAAGAAAGGGATCCACAACAGACACGTGGGAGAATGCTCAGTTAGTGGCATGATAAAACAATGATGTGTCAAAGGAGACTAAGGTATGGTCAGAGAGGTGAGAGAATAAAGAGAGAACAGAGTGGCCAGTGATGAATACTGAAAAGAAGTCAAAGCATGAGGATTCAGAAAAAGCTAGTGGAGATGGCAATTAAAACATCACTGGCAATTTTGGAGAGAGCATTTTCGGTTGAATAATGAGGTTAAAAGACAAATGTGCCAACAGTGACAACGGGTATATAGATCTTTTTCCCAAGATGATCTGGTTTTCTTTTCTTTTTTTTGACAACTAATTTTAGTTTTCAACATTCACTTCCACAAGATTTTTGAGTTTTAAATTTTCTCCCCCCTCCCACTCCTCTCCTGAATCCTGCCCCAAGAAGGCATATTTTCCTATTAGTCATGATGTAAAGAACAATTAGAACTAATGGGAGGAAACAAGAGAACGAAGCAATAAAACAAAACAACAAAGGAAAAGGAGAGCAAATAGTATGCTTCCATCTGTATTAATAATCCATAGTTCTTTCTCTAGATGTGGACAGCTATTTCCATCATGAGTCTTTTGGAGTTGTCTTAGATCGTTGCATTGCTGAAAAGAGCTAAGTCTATCAAAGTCAGTCATCCTACAATGTGGCTGTTACTGTGTACAATGTTCTCCTCACTTCATTCAGCATCAGTCCATACAAGTCTTTCCAGGTTTTTCTGAAATCTGCTTGCTCATCATTTCATACAGCACATAGACCACAACTTGTTCAGTCATTCCCCAACTGATGGGCATCCCCCCTCAATTTCCAATTCTTTGCCACCACAGAAAGAGCTGCTATAAATATTTTTGTATATGTGGGTCCTTTTCCCATTTTTATGATGTCTTTGGAATACAGACCCAGAAGTGGTATTATTGGGTCAAAGGGTATGCACATCAATTTAGTATTCTGAGAAAATTTAGAAGAAAAAGGTTCCGGAAGAAGGTGGGGCCCCTGAACTAAATCTAAGGTCATTATCTGTGGCCTTCACTCCTATTCACATGCTGCTAAACAAGGCTGGAGAAAATCACAAAAGCATAATGACTGTTTTATTACAAATTTATGTTACATAATCTCAACTGAGCTTTCACTATGGCAAAGCAATCCTTTTACACCTCCCCAAATGACTCACAATCCCATTCACCACAGTGGTTTTTCCAAACATTTTTATCCCTCTTAAAGTGTAATCCAGTGATGCAGACATCCTTGCTATTCCTCACACAAGATCCTCTATCACCTGAATCAGTGGCTGTCCCCCATAATCTGGAGTTTTCAGCTTCCTCATCTCTACCTCTTGGCTTCCTTGGATTCCCAGCTAAAACCATATTTACTACAAGAAGCCTTCTTCAATTACCCTTAATGCTAACTATCTTTCCTCTGAGATTATCTATAATCTATCCTGGATATAGCTTGTTTATACATGGGCACATTTTCTCCCCATTAGAGTATGAGCTTGTTAAGGGCAATGACTGTTTTTTTGGTGAGTTTTTGGTTTGTCTTTTTCTTTTTTTTTTTGCCTGTGTGTGTTCCAAATACAGTGCCTTACATACAATAAGCATTTAATACTGTTGACTGACAACAGAATCAAGCAACTTACTATCACATTACTTAATGACAAAAAACCAAAGTATAGCTAAATCTATTATTCTACTACATGAGAAAGACTGTGTCTTTTAAATAAACAAAATGGATTTTAAAGTAGTGATTTATAGCTAAGAAGCAATACCTTATTTTGTTAGAATTCATGACTATAGTTCCTAACCCCACCTAGAAGTACTTTCTCAATATGCAAAAGATGTTAACTGCCTACACCTGTAGCTCCAATTCTGGATTTATCAAGTCCTAAGATGTCACCTGAGGCAAAGAAATGCTAAGTGATTTATTTACCTTCACAAAGTTAATGTATCCCAAGGCAGCATTGGAACCCAAGTCTTTCTGAATCCAATCCCAGTGTTCTAAACACATATCACAGCTGCCTCTATCACCCTTTAAAGAGGTACTGTATGTTCTTTTTAAAGTGATTAGCAAATTTCATTTAAAATAACTTTAGACAATATAAAATACTTGCTAAGACAAACCCAGGAACTACATGAACAAAATTACAAAACACTTTTTAAACAAATAAAGTCAGATCTAAACAACTGGAGAAATATTGATTTCTCATGGTAGGCAGAGTCAATATTATTTTAAAAAACAATTCTACCTATATTAATTTACTTATTCAATGCCATACCAATGAAACTACCAAAAATTATTTTATACAACTAGAAAAAAAATAACAATTCATCTGGCAGAACAAAAGGTCAAAAATATCAGAGGAATCAACAAAAAAATGTGAAGGAAGGGGGCCTAGCAGTACCAGATTTCAAACTGTATTACAAAGTGGTAATCATCAAAACAATTTGGTACTAGCTAAGAAAAAGAGTGGTGGGCCAATAGAATAGATTAGGTACACAATAAATACAGTAATAAATTACCATAGTAATCTAGTGTTTGATAAACACAAAGATCCAAGCATTGTGAGAAGAAATAAGTATCTAAGAAAAATCGCTAGGAAAACTGAAAAGCAATTTGGCAGATATTAGGTACAGACCAATATCTACCACCATATACCACGATAAGGTTAAAATGAGTACATGATTTAGACAAAAAGGGAGATATCATAATCAAATTAGGAAAGCATGGAATATCTTTCCTGTCAGATCTATGAATAAGGGAAGAATTTATGAGAAAATAAGAGATAGAGAACATTATGGTATGTAAAATGGATAATTTTGATAACATCAAATTAAAAAGGTTTTGCACAAACAAATCCAATGCAGCCAAGATTAGAAGGAAAGCAGAAAAGTGGGAAAACATTTTTACAGCAAGTTTCTTTGATAAAGGCCTCATTTTTCAAATATATAGAGAACTGAGTCAAATCAATAAGAATAAAAGTCATTCAAGGAATTAAAGCTATCCACAGTCACATAAAAATGCTCTAAATCACTTTTGATTAAAGAAATGCAAATTAAAACAACTCTGAGGTACCACATCACCACCTATCAAATTGGCTAATATGACAGAAAAGAGAAATGACAAATGTTGGAGAGACTGTGGAAAAATTGAGATGCTAATGCACTGTTAGTGAGTTGTGAGCTGATCTAACCCTTCTAGAAAGCAATTTGGAACTATGCCCAAAGAACCATAGAACTGTGCATACCCTTTGACCCAGCAATACCACTGCTAGGTCTGTATCCCAAAGAGATCATAAAAAAGGGAAAAGGAACCACATGTACAAAAAATATTTATAGCAGCTCTTTCTGTGGTGGCAAAGAATTGGACATTGAGGGGATGCTCATCAATTGGGGAATGGCTGAAGAAGTTGTGGTATCTGAATGTAATGGAACACTATTGTTCTATAAGATATGATGAGATTTCAGATGAGCAGATTTCAAAAAAACCTGGAAAGACTTACATAAACTGATGCTGAATGAAGTGAACAGAACCAGGCCAATATTGTACACACAGGAACAGCAACACTGTACAACAACCAGCTTTGATAAACTTAGCTCTTCTCAGCAATGCAAGGATCTAAGACAACCCCAAAAGACTCATGATGGAAAATGCTATCCACACCCAGAGAAAAGAACTATGGAGTCTGAATGTAAACTGAGGCATACTATTTTCTCCTTTTTTGTTGTTTTTTCTTTCTTGTGGTTTTTCCCTTTTGTTCTGATTCTTCTTTCACAACATGAAAGGCGAAAATATGTTTATAATATGAATGTATAAGTAGAGCCAATATCAGCTTACATGCCATCCTGGGGGTGGGGGCAGAGGGGGAAAAATCTGGAACTCAAAATCTCATAAAAGTGAATGTCGAAAACAAAAATAAAAAAATACATAAAAACATGTGCATACCTTTGACCTAGCAATACCACTACTATGTCTATATCCCAAAGAGATCAAAGGAAAAGGACCTCAATGTACAAAATTAGTTATAGCAGCCCTTTTTGTGATGGCAAAGAATTGGAAATTTATGGGATGCCCTGATGCCTGATGAGAGTTCTGATCCTCCCCACATTTTAAATATTTAAGCTTAATACAAAACTTCACAGAATAAAGTTTGTAGGCATCCATCAAGCAGAAGAGAGACTCACATGTTGTTCCTACCACTGCTTTCTCACTGCCTTCCAAGAGGTCCCAAAAGTAGAGTGATGACTGTTCCATCTGGTCTTCAATACTGAAAATGAAAAGGCAAAAATAAAGCAACTTAAGAAGCGTGTTGTGGCATTGACACATTATAAATTCCTATCCATATATAGTCAAAGTAATTTTATTTCCAACAGGAAGGAAAACTTAAACTTGAACTGCTAAAGCTGATTAGCCACTTAAGATTTCTAATTCAAGTTAATTTCTGAAACAACCTAACTTAAAAAAAAAAGGCAATCTTTAGGCTAGGGACTTTTGATTGCCAGCATTCATTACACACATTTACCACAAGGAGCTATTATGAGACAGACAAGTTTAAAATTATAATTTACTGATGCTGTATTGTCAACTCATGACAACTGATGTCCAATAAGAGAAATTATACATTAAGTTCCATTATGGATTACTTAAGGGCCCTTCACATGATATTTAGGCAGATAAAAGTTTTGTTTAGTCTAGGGTAAATATACATTTACACACTGCCTGAGCCTACATTCAGTAGGGAGGGAAATGGACAAACATGTACTGGTGATAGCATGGGGAGCCAGTGTGTCTAACTGCAAGAGGCTAAGAATGACTGCATTTTATAGCTTTCATATACAGATTTAGATTTCTTAGAAATCAAATCTCTCACAGATGAATTTTAAACCCACTTTAACAGAATAAAACAAAAACCACCAAACTTTCTAAAAAAGAAAAAACGTTTATAAAGATTATTGGTTTAAAACAAGATGGCAAATATGGATAACTGGAAGGAATGGTGTATTGGAGGAGAAAGGAAGAAAAAAATATTCAAAGAGTCTAATTTGTATAAATCTGCTCTTTGTGCTTTGATACTGGGTTAACTTATTTAGTTTTTACCTGTAGGATGATGGCAGAATACCAAGTACTTCTTTTTGAAAGTTCAATTATTTTGGAATAAGCTAAATTTTGCTTACTCTTTATTCAACAGCAGAGAAATAAGGATGTAAAAACTCTGGGGTAATAAAAAGACCATGCTTTTACCTTAACAACAAGTTTTTCTAATATCCTCAAATTCAGCAGTTTTACATTAAGGTTAGACTGATCTTTGAACAATCTTTTTAAGAATCAGTGCTACAAAGAATATATGAGAAGGGAAGACAGCTAGGTGGCGCAGTAGATGGAGCATCAGCCCTGGAGTCAGGAGGACCCAAGTTCAAATCCAGCCTCAGACACATGATACTCACTAGCTGTGTGACCCTGGGCAAGTCACTTAACCCCAATTGCCTCACAAAAAAAAAGAAATCAGTGCTACAATATTAGAATATATGGCTAGTTAAGGAAAGGACTAGTTTCTTATCCCAAATTTACCCCTTCCAAATACTCCAGCTCTCAATCATAGGATTTGCTGTTCTTCAAAGTTGTTTCTAATTCCCAAATATCAATAAGGTAAAATGAAATTCGTGTCCCATTTTAGGAGAACATTTTCATTACTGTACCTCAAACTCTCGTTTCTCTCAGGGCATGTGAGTTTTGAAAACTTAATGAGGTAGTCTAGTTCTCTTGAAGGCAAATACACTGCACCATTCAAGCCACCTTTGAAGTCCTCTTGAACATGTTCTTGTGTGAAGTTCTGTAAGACATACTGAACTTGAAATATAGTCCGGAGCTTCTTTTTCTCGGCCTCAAGTTTTATCATGTGCTCTCTTCTCTGAGCCTTCTTTTGGGCCTTCAGGAGCTATTAAAAATAAATTCTTATTAAAATGGACTGTCAGCTATACCTCCCAACTAGCAATTTCATATACAGAAAACTAGGCTTATAAGATTTAGAATTAAAAAGGACTTCATATAAGAGCTAGTCTACTTCCTTATTTTACAAGCCCAGGAGATGAAGACTTATAATAGCAGAGCTAGGATTCCAAATCACATTCTTTGACTTCAAATCTAGCACTTTCCCTACATGATGCTACCTTTGTCCTATAAGCCACTGAAATTGTACTCTTAGAACATCTAACCCAAAACGGCTAAAGATTCTCAAATCTCATGTGACAATTAAAAAAGGTAATAGAATAAGTAGCCAATTCTAATTACGCCAATTTACAACTAAGTGCTTTTAAACCTACCAAATATGTACTTATTAAGCACTTACTATAAACCAGGTACTTTGCTGGAGAGCTAAAGAAAACATCAAAAACAGTCTTTTGTCTTTAAGGAGCTTATATTCTAACTGGGGAGAAGATAAAATTGGAATATATAAAGTAAATACAGAGTAAATGGAAGGTAGCCTTAGATGGTAAGGTACTAGCAGTGGAGGGGAGGAAAAAAGGCACCTAGAGGAGGTTGTGCTTGAGCCAAATTTAAAAGGAAGCCAAAGACTCTAAGAGATCTCTTAAAGATGGAAGTTAGAAAGAAGAACAGATAAATGTTCTACTACTATTTTTTTGATACAAATAGGAAAGACAGACATAAAAATGTAGAAAAAACTGAGACAAAAAGAAGTTAAATTACCTAAGATTACCTGGTTAGTGGCAGTGTTAGGACTAGAACCCAGCCTCCTGTCAGCTAACACTACTACTATTCTATCATCTACCATGAGGAGAATTAGTGAAATACACAGTTAATCCTAAAATGGTGACCCACTTTTATCAGAGTAACTTAAAATCAAAATTATATATGTATATATGTATTATTAGTACACAATATATATACATACTACACATATACACACATACAAATATTAATTCTTAATACATATTTTGCTTTTCATGCTCCATACAGTAAAAAGGCTAACATGAAGCTGCAAAGAAAAAAAAGACCAAGGTGAGATATAAAAATGGTCAGTTCCAACCAACCAGATGACTTATTTTGCAATAAAACCTATATGAACTTGTACCCTAAGGCATCATTCCATAGAATTCTGCCCCCTGAAACTGTCATATCAAATAAGCAAATCACACTAAACAATAGTTTTACTTTACTATCTTGGTTGGTTAATCACAATGTATGATCGTCTAATGGAGAAGATCAAAGTACAGATTAGCCAGATGTATTTTAACCCACCAACTTTTTTGGTCACTGGATGCACGATAACGGGACACAATCAATCTGTCTCAATATACAGGGATAGAAGATTACTGGTGATTTCATTCATCTAGGAAACTTCTGGGCAAACCAACTCCCTCTACCAATACAATTTAGCCTTAAAGGGTTTCCTAGAGTAATGAGAAATTAAGTGACTTGCCTGGGCTCATGTTGCCAGTATGTCAGAAATTAGAATGCAGATCTTCCTGACTTTGAGGCCAACTCTCTATGCACCATGCCATTCAACATATACTATATTTAAAATAATCAGGTCCACTGACTTCTGCCAAAATATCATTACAGGACAGTAGAAAAAAGCCCAGCAAGTTTAAAGAAACAAACAAAAAAGGTTTGGAAGAATCTGACAATGAAAGAAAAGCATTGATGTTACTTGTTCAGGGTCTAAAACCCAAATATCTTGTAGAACAAACACAAGCATGACAATTTCTAGTTTGCATATATCCACCCATTATATATGGATACAGGGTTTAAAAAAAAGTTTCCAACAAAACTACAAGAGAATTAATACACAGCTAATTTTAAAAATGTAAATAAAAATATGCCTAATTGAAATAATCCTCCAAAGATACTGATATATAAAAAATATATCTATACCAGGTGAACATTATTATAAAGTTATCTTACAAGTGAGCTATAACGTCCACCATTACCTAAAACAAAAACAAAACTTAATAGCAAACAAATCAAGATTTTACTATTAAGAACTGAAAACTAAATAGATGCCCATTGATTGAGGAATAGTTCAAAAATCATGGTTGCAATCCATAAATGTAATGGAAGATGACTGTGTCACAAGAGATGAACAAGGGATGAACATGAAGAATTTACAGAAGATTTATATGAAATGATGCTGAGTGAAATAAAAAGGTCCAGGAAATAAACAAACAAACAAATAAATATACATACACACACACACACACACATATTATATATATATATATATATAATTACTACAATAATATAAAATAGAACAATAGGGCTTAAATAAGGTTTAAACCAACACTATTCAATTATACCGTGCTTCCAGAGAAGGGTTGAGAAAATGTACCATCTTTGTAGAGGTGAGGATTAAGGGCTATGGAATATTGTATACACTACTGATTTTCAGTTACCCTATTCAAATTGTGTTGCTTTTCCTGAAACGACTTACATCTTGGCTGAGTCCAGAAAAAGTTTTTTGAAGCTCCTTGGCAAATTCCAAGTTATGTAATACTTCTTCATACTTTTCTACTGCCTCCTGTAAAACAATTAAAAAGCAAATATTTAACATGCATGTAGCTATGTCAAAATAAGAGCACTAGTCAGTTTACTTGTCTCAAATCTGAGTTTTTAACACTTCTTGCTAAGCATGAGGACAAACTGGCTCATGGAATCCTTTCTTCCATATGTACATTCTTAGAAGTGTGACACATTAGCTTAATAGCTGCCTCATTCCAAAATACAGTAGCATTAAAAAAATGTCATTAGGAACCATTTGCCTATTATTCTAGCACCTAACACTTAGGACACAGAATTTTCTCTTCCTAATCCAGATCTGAATCAGAACAACAAATATTCAATACTCCAACCATTTTATAAACAAAATTCCATACTGCTACCATAGCTAAAAGAAAATATATGGAGTCCATTAATCAACAAGTATTTATTATTAAGTGAAAACAAGTATTTATTAAGGCACAATAAGTATTCATTAAGGCAGAAGGGATACGAACAAAGATGCAAGGATCCCTACTGGAAAAGGAATTTACATTCTAGGGGAGATAACAAGAATATATATAAATACATGCAGTGTAAATATAAAGTGATTATATACAAAGTAGTTAAATAGAAGGCACAATAGAAGGGAGAGATGATACAAGCAGCTGACTAGGGGAAGGAATCTGAATCAGCTACATATACTTCATGCTTGAGCTGCATCTTAAAAACAAGGAACTCAGAGGTGGAAGTAAAGAGGGACGACATTCCAGTCATGGGGGATGGCTAGTGCAAAGAGACAGGAAATGGAGTCCTGTGTGAGGAACAGAGAGGCCAGTTTGGCAGAAATCAGAGTGGGGGAAGGGAATAATGTCTAAAGAAAGTGGAATAATAGGTTGGTAAGAGGTTTTTTAAAAGCTAAATGGAGGACTTGATATTTGATTTTAAGAGGTAATAGGAAGCCACGGTTCCTGGTTGAGTGGAAGAGTCATACAGTCAGATGTGAGCTCTAGGAAAATTACTTTGGCAATAGCATACAGGATGGAATTGAGTGGGGAAAAACTTGGAGCAGCTCAACCAATTAGGAAGTTGTTGAAATAATCTAGGTGAGGGGCAGCTAAGTAGCTCAGTGGATGGAGCACCAGCCCAGAAGTCTGGAGGAGCTGAGTTTAAATCCAACTTCAGGCATTTGACACTTACTAGCTGTGTGACCCTGGGCAAGTGACTTAACCCCATTGCCTAGCTAAAAAATCATCATCATCATCATCATCATCATCATCATCATCATCTAGGTGAGAGGTATATAGAAGGAGGTCTAGATAGATAGATAGGTTATTCAAAATGCAAGTGAAATCTAGTTTAGCTATTATGTTCTCCTGAAAAGGTCACTTTAATACTGTGTTTTGTAAGACATAAAGCACTTTTCATGCAACAAATAACCTGTTAGAGAAGTAGTACAGATATTACTACCTTCATTTTACAGCTGAAGAACTTGGGGCAGGCTCAGGGATGTTAAATAATTTGTCCAAGGTCCAATAGCTTAACATTACAAAGGACAACACTAGAAGAAATCCCAGTTTTCTGACTGAATTTAATGTTTCTACAATGTGCATGATCATAGTAGCTCCTTCAAAGATTTTAAATTATTCAAAGTATTTCTGCAGAGGAAAAAAATTATCTTCCAAGAACAAGATACGTTTTGTGATATTAACTAGTTACAATAGCACATTCAATTCAATAAGATTTGAGTACATGTTATGTACAAGACACAAAAAAAACCAGGATATTGACTAGAAAGATGACACCTGACCATGGCAATTATCAAAACACTAGACTTGAATATCAGGTTGATTCATGAAGCCTTAAGTAACTACATTTTAACTTAAATGAATGTTATGAGCCTAACTAAACTGTAACTGCTGAGATTCATTCCATAAAGCCTGGTTTTTGAAGAACTATCCTCCTAATGTGCTTATGGGCACTTAGGATTTTTATAACAGTTAAGTACTATAATTCCTTTGAGAATATGAGTTGATACTGTTTGCTGGAGAATGTATATACACACATGTACAATACATATACCGCTTTAACATACTTTTATTTTATTATTGTATATTATAATATCTAAAATATTTTTAGGTGCAGGAAGGGCATTGGTGATTTGAAGAACAGGGAAAAAAGCAGAGTGGTAGTAAATGAAACATCATCATCATCATCATCACAGCATTTATAAAGCGCTTTAAGGTTTACAAAGTTCTTTACATATGTTATATCATTTGATATTATAAAAAAAACCTAGGTAAATAGGTGCTATAATCAATCCCATTTTACAGATGAGAAATTGAGGATAAGAGGTTAAATGACTTTTCCAGGGTCATACAATTAGTGTTTGAGACAGTATTTGAACTCAGGTCTTTCTGACTACAGGTCTAACATCACCTACACCACCACCTAGCTGCTTAAGGGAGAGGATTCATGCCTGATGAAGCCTGAAGGAAACTTCGGACAATAGATTTGCTCAGTACCACAGTAGTCTTAAAGTATTTGAAGGGCTATGACATTTAAGCAGGTTTACACTTATTCTTCTTTGTCCCAGAGTTCAGAACAAGGAACAATGGCCAGAAATTACAGAGGTAGATTTTAGCTCGAGGTAGGAATAAAATCTTTCAAATTATTAGAACTATTCCAAAAGTGAAGGAGTTGCCTTAGACAGTAGTAGGTTCACTTTCACATATCAGAGGTCTTTAAGCAAACTGTAGATGGCCACTGCTAGATACAATGTAGAGGGAATAATTGTTTAGGATTTAGTTTAAGCTTCTGTGGTTCTGTGGGTTTCTAAGTAATGTGAGAGTGGTTAGAAAAAAGACATGAGAAGCTAATTAAAGGGAACGAAAGTTGAAAGAAAGCATAAAGGCTAGAATGAATAGCCAATTTAGAAAAAAAAGCTTTAAATCAAGAAAGAGAGGGTAAGAGTATTATGTTTAGAATTCAGTTTGAAAGACTGAAGTCTTACCCTCTTTTCCTTCACTACGTACTAAGTCTATTCCCTTTATCAAAGTCTAATCAAAAGACTACAATAAATTCACACTACAAAGCTACTAAGATGAAATGAGATATTTGTAAAACATTTAGCACAGTTCCTGAGACATAGTAGGTGCTATAAAACAGTTAGCTATTATTACTAATCTTTTTTTTTCCAAAGAATATATTTCATAAAAGAGAGGGGCCATTTAGTCCAAATTAAAAACTTTAAGTTACACAAACTGGATAGCCTACAGCTGAGAGCTCTATAGACCCTTCAGCTATCTGGAACCTGGGTTTTGTCACCTTCAGAGACAAAAGGGTTAGTTTATGGGGCAGCTAGGTGGCTCGGTGGATAGAGCACCCGCCCTGGATTCAGGAGGACCCGAGTTCAAATCCGGCTTCAGACATATCAGACATATAACACTTACTAGCTGTGTGACCCTGGGCAAGTCACCCTATTGCCCAGGAAAAAAAAGGGGGGGGGTTAGTTTAATGGGCTTTAAAGTTGATCCAACTCTAATTCTGCAGTTAGAACAACTGAAGCCCAGAAAAAAAAAGTAAAGCAATTTGATCACACCATGCAGCAAAGAACAGAGCCAAGAGTTGAACTCTCAACTCTAATTCTTCAAAAGCTCTAATTATAGAGAAGCAGGGGGCTTGCAAGATACCCTAAAAAGTTGACTTCAATCTCAACATGAGTGAATTTGGTATATCTTCCTCACAATCCGAGCCCCCCATATCCCACTCCCCAAAAAGCATTAGGTCTAACAGTGTTACAGAGCAGCAGCTTTGGGCTCAGGATAAAGTGAAAAAATTGTAATAATTAGTGTTTTCTAGCAGCAGAACATGTTGCCTCAAAGTAACGAGCTCTTACTAGGAAGGGGAGAAATATATTTGGAAACAACATCAATAAATAACATTGTTGTAAAATAGTATATTCTCCATTCAAGTAGAGCAGGGCTTCTTAACCTAGGGTCTGTAAACTGCATTTTAAAAAAAATACATTTTGTTAACTATTTACATACAAATACAAGTGTTTTGTTATCCTATATTTTATGCATTCTAAGAATGGGCCCACATAGACTGCCAAAGGAGTTCATGACACAAATAAGGTTAAGAACCTCTGAAGTAGAGCACAGATGACAACTAGTGTCCATAAGGTTGTAAAAGGGATTATACCAAGTAATGAGTCGGACTAGATAATCTCCCAAGGTTCCTTCCAATTCTGATTCTAAGGTCCAGTAAGCTACACCACATAGATGACTACCTCCAGTCTATGTATAAGCTGCTTCTAGGGAGACCAATTAATGGAGATATTCACCCAGTATAGAATTCAGGCAAACTGCCAAGCTAGTTTGCCAGCTGCTACAGAAAAAAGACAATTTGACCTACAGTTAAAATGCAGAGTGTAAGAAGGGGTGGAGAAAACCCGGAGTTTAAGCAAAAAAGCAGAGACAAATTACTATGGCAGAAAGAAGGGCAAATAAAAGCCTAACTAGACATGCCAGTGACCTGAGAAAGAGAGCAATGCCTTATCTTTACTTAATGCACCTTGGTATAAGTGATCAAAACTAAGTTAAAAGACAAGTACATAAACATATCATACGCACTTCAAAATTCCTCCATAGTAGAGAATTTGCATAAAAGAACCTCTTTAGGTACTAATGCCACAAAAACGTACAAGGACAGGGAAAGTCATTTGAAGCTAAGTCATTATTCTTCCCTCATTTGCTCTAGTGATGATGGCAAAAGGAAAGAAAAAATTACTCAGCAAAAACTGCCTAGGAATCCTCTTTTGGGGCTGCCCTGGGTTTGTTTCCTCATGATCCTATCTTTTTGATAAGAAGAGTTGGAAAAGAAAAGGATAGAAACTTTATTTCAACTAAGATTCAGGTGTAGAGCTTCAAATTAAAAGACAAAATCCATTCAACACTTTAAGAAGATGCATAGAAAGTTGGCTATCCTCCAAAACCCAAAGGAGAAGAAGAAAAAGAATTACCTTGAAGCACTTGCCTCTCATATTCTGTACCCCAAATAACTAAGTTATTGATAGAACCTAATAGCAAGTATACTTAAATCTCAGAGACATGAAGACTCAATGAAACCTTTACTCTACCTGCTGTATCTTCATTTCTCTTCCCCATTCTACAAAGTCCTTAGCCCTATCAAATACAGAGGTTTTTTCCTCTTAAAAACTGAAAAAAGCAAATTTTCTAGAGGATGACTATCTACTTACCAATTGGTCTGAATTGAGTGGCTCTCCATTTTTCAGGCGATCCTTATAATCTTCTAGTTTGAGCTACAAATAGAAAAACTTTTAGTTTGAAAAAAGTTAAGTTTGAAGATTAAATGTTTCTAAATAAAGTCTACTTTCCTGCTATGTACAAGACATTTTGATAAAAGCTGGGAAAACAAATGAAAGACGACAGCCAAGTGTTTAAGCATCTCATTGAATGTGGGCCAGGAGATATGATGGTTTACATACGCATACAAATAACTGGTGTATAGGGTAAAAATGCAATAAGAGTGGAGCAAAGATTGAGCAAAAGTGCTCTAAGATTTGAGGGAGAGAGAATTTTCAGCTGTGAGGAAGATCAGAAATCAAGATAGGCATCATAGAAGCAATAACACCTAAAACATTCCTTAAAGGAAGGATTAACAAGCAAGTATAAACAGTAATATATATTAGGTTTGGGTTTAGCTGAGAGGGGCAAGGGAAAGGAGAAAAATGGAAATGGTTTTCTGCCTGTGTAAATGGATAGTAGGATGAGGCTGGCTGAGTGGCTAGCATTCCTGGTTGGTTAGAACACAGAAAACATGAAGGGAATAATGTGAAATAAAGTTGGAAGAGCATGTTGGAGCCAGATTATGGCTGGTCTTAAGTGACAGGCTGAGGAATTTGCATTTTATCTGGGAAGCAACAAGGATCCAAGGAAGGTTTTTAGCAAGGAAGTGACATGATCAGACCTTAGCATTAGGAACATTCGGGCAGCTATGGAGATGAATTATAGAAGGGAATAAGAGAAGACAGATTAAGAAAGTATCACAATAGTTTGGGCAAGAGGCAACAAGGGCCAGAACAAAAGCAGTTGAAATGGAAGTTGAAAGGAAGGGTGCACTTAGTAGCTGTGTGACCCTGGGCAAGTCACTTAACCCCACTGCCTAACCAAAAAAAAAAAAAAAGGAAGGGATGAAGGTGAGAAATACTGTAGTGACAGAATTGAGGGGACTTAGCAAGGAAATAAATATGAGGAATAGAGGAGAGGGAAAAGAAAAAGTCAAAGATGAATAAGATTGAGTGGTGGTCACAGCCAAGTTCAATTTTGTATATACTGCTTTTGATGAGCTGACAAAACACACAGGTATGTCTTGAAGGCAGCTGAAGACAACAGAATTGATCTTAGGAGGGAAAGATTTCAGTTGTTTATACAGATTTGACCATCATCTATCTAGACTGATATCTAGCCATGGAAATGATCCTGAAAATTTCCCATGAAACTCAAGTTAAATTTAAGTTGCTCATCTGTAAGATTAGCATTTGATTACGGTAAGCGAACTAAGACATTTGCTAGTTAAAGAATTTATTAAAAACAAAACAAAACTTGGTAATACTGAGAACTCCAGAAATGCTACTATTTCAAAGCCTCTATAATTACAGCAAGAGGTGGGGAAGGGGAGAAGAAAACATATATCTGTTTAGTCAAATTGGGTAAATTAAACAGCTATTATAAAATGAAAAAAACATCTATTCTTAAAGAGTTTATGATTTAGTAGTATAAGCTATGTTTAGTACTGGCACACATATAGGACTATATTCCTAAAATAGAATCTTTGAAAGAAGGAAAAAAATTAAACATATGCTGAAAAAATAATTTATTATAGAGGACACTTTGGTTTTACGCACCAGATCTGGAGGGAGGCAAAGGCAAGGGAGAAGAAATATAATGTATATTCTAATCAAAAATATGAAGTTGAAGTGGTACAAAGGAGAGGTCCAAAATATTATGAGCAATGGAGATCACTTTCAATTAGATAAAGAATCAGCAAAGAAATTTATCAAGGAAAATTTCACAGAAGTAGGGCACCTAAGCTGGCATTTAACACAAAAAGGTTATCTAAAAAAGGTCAGAGTTGAGGGTTGGAGAATGAGGGCAGAGAAGAGGAGAGTTCATGCTAGGTACAGAGAACAGCACAAAGTGGTCATCCAGAATAGGACAGAGGAGTAGTCAGCTTGGTTTAAACCAAATAATAGCTTATCATGCTTTAAGGCTTGCAAAAGGCTTTACATATGTGATTTAATTTGTTTCCCACAATAACCCTCAGAGGTAGGTGGAATTATTATCTCCATTTTGCAAAAGAGAAGCTAAGTGACTTGTCCAGGGTCACACAGCTAATTAAGCACCTGAGGCAGGATTCAAACTTGCGGTTTCCTGATTCTTAATCCAGTGGTCAATCCCTTATGCCCTCTCACTGCAAAGGAATAGTATTGGAATGCTAGAGGGCTTTAAGCACCATAAGGAGTTTATACTATACTTGCAAGGTAACAGGGAGTCACTGAAGTTTGTTTTTTTTTAATTAGAGGGAGTGATGTAATCAAAACACTGCATTAGGAAGCTTACTTTGGCAGCTAAGTGAAGGCTGAATTAGGGAAGAAAAGCAATTGCATGAAGACAGACCAGTTAAGAAGCTAGTTCAAGTTCAAGTAAAAAGTGGTGAGGTCCTGAAGCAGGATTGTTGTAATCAAAATGGAAAGAAACAGATGCTATATTATGGGAAGCAGAATCAAATCAACAAGACCTGGCAAACAAGTGAATGAGAGGTGACAGAGAGAGAAAAATCAAAGATATTATTTACTTTTTGGGTGACTGGAAAGATGGAATACTGTCTTCCACCAGAAAGAGAAGTTGGTGTAAGGGTAGAGGTTAGAAATAAGGAGTTCAGTTTTGTAAATACTGAATTTGTAATGCCAGCAGGACATCCAGATACAGAAACCTAGCAGATTTTTAGAAATATCGAACTATAATCTTGAGGAGATATAAGGGCTGGAGATAAAAATTTGGAGGTTTAAGAGCCTAGAGATGGTAACTGAAGCTACAGTAATGAATGACATGCTAGAGAAAAGGCCCTAAGGCAAAAGTTTGGGGGACACCCCTATGAGGGGCACGACAAGGAAATGGAACCAGCATAGAAGAAAAAGAAGAAATGGTTATAGAGGCATAAATACAACCATGAATGAAGGTGTTTAGAAGGAATGGTTGTTAAGAAAGAAGTGGTATCCCACAATGCCTTATGCTTTGTTGAAGTCAAAGAGGAGTGGAGAAAGATAAGGCAAGAAGACCACAAGGCATTAATTTTTAAAAAGAATAGTTTCAGTAAAATGATAGGAATGTGTCAAATTGAAAAGGGATTAAAAAGTGAGTGTAATGAGTATAACCTATTTTTTCTAGAAGTTTTTTTGGTAGAAGGGAAGTTTCCGGTTATCTTTTGTGATAATGAAGGTAAAGGGGTGGGAGAGGAAGGATAGGCACATCTGAGCACACGTTTGTGGACTGAAGGGAATGGAGATTGAAGAGCCATTAGAGAAAATGGATGATTGATAGAACAAGGTTATAAAGAAAAAAGGGTGTCATGAATATAGGTACAGGGGTTAACCTTGGCAAGGAGGTTCACCTCATCCTCTAATATCAAAAGGAAGAAGAAAAGAAGCAGATGACAGTGAGAAGTGTTTCAGAGGGATAGGTGAAATGAGGAACTCATACCATATCATGTATTACCTCAAAAGGGGAGAATCATTTGTTGAGAGTAATTTAAAGTCAGGTACTTAGAAGCAAGGTTTGGAACAACCCACTGTTCAGGATAGAGGGCATCCAGTACTATGCTTATATTAGCTCAATTCTTTGTTGTTCGCTTCAACTGTACCCTTTTCGATGTGCCAAGTACAAGAGTTATAACTTTCATACTGAATTTTTAAAAAGCAACACATGAAAATAGCACTTGGGCTGAATCTACTATAATGTGAGAAATGATAAATTTTTGCTGTTAAGTGTATACACTGGTACAATGATAACCTCATGTACTCACTGTCAAGCACTTGATGGTAGTCCTATAACATTATGTTAGCTTACACACAAATCTAGTTAAATGAATTTAAAATTATGTAGTATATGCTCAAAGGCCATCACTCTTAAGTTTCCAGTATACAGCAGACATTGTACACCATTTGCATAGACCATACTATTGACCTATCATCAATATGACCTAAGCTTTTTGTATCCAGTAAAGTTGAAGAATTTGTGCTGATCCATTCATATTCATACATTGCAAAGTCAGATCAGGCCCATTCTGTGGCAACAGACATGCTACAAGTAAATGGCTCTTCCAAGTACTAAAAAAACTATGACCACAAAAACTAGCTCCACATTAGCCCAATCAGACTTACCATTTGAATAACACACCTACACACACACCTTCCACAAAAACAGCTCCTAAAGTTTTCAGTAGAACTTGGTTTCACATTTATATTCCAATATTTGAAATTCAGGGCCATAAAACCCACCCAGTGGGTACCACCATTTTAGAATACTCAGAGGGAATCACTAATAATTATTAAATAAATAAAATTTAATACATGAAATACTATTTAATATTAGCCCCATAACTCAAAGAAATTAGTTACGACATGAATTTGGAATTTTAACATCAACCTTTGTAGTCACACTAGGCCCACATTAAACCTTTCACTTTCGATAAGCATCTCTAAGATTTACTTCTTGACCACGTCATCTTTAAGCTATAAATTAGTATTGCTGGAATAGTGTATCATTCCTCAAGCTTCCCATCACTGCTGCAGCTGTACTGCAATAACTACTGCAGAAAGAAGATAAACAAACAAGGCATGGGGTTTTCAAGTTATTAGTATTCCTTCTCTCTGAGTAATGCCCCTCTCATTTAAAAAGAAAAAAGATAAATGCTCTAATAAATCTCTAAGCATTTAGACAACAGCATGCAAAGTAATAGTATAAAGCATAAACTCTTCAGCTAAACTGATAACAAATAATTCTAAATTTTGCTTTGCACGCACACTAGATCTTGATTCTATTCTTAGAAGGTGAGGTGTCTAAGTTAAACACGAATTTTTTGTTTTGAAACATCCCACCTAACAAAATGAAAAAAGTTACCTTCTTTTTTTCAATATTTCTAATCTTGTGTTTGAGACATATAAGTCCATTATCAATGTAGGTCTCATAGGCCTGGGAAGAAGTTACCACTGAATTGAGAGCAGACCGCAGGGGGCTCAGGGGAGGCTGGCTCTCCCCACATTGGCTGTGATTCACTTGCTGCTTGGCTGATTTCATATTCCCCACTTTGCTCTCCTCTGAATGGCCTGAAGGTAAGTGGCTACATAAAGAGAACGAAGAAAGCAGCACCATTGAAATAGATGTAGCTAAAATAAGGGAGTGAGGGAAGAGAGATAAGCATTAGTACAAATAGACATAAGATAGGCACAAATTAGAACTAACAAAAAAAATCTCTTACCACAGAACAAATCTCTAACCCCATCCCCTCTAAATTCTTTATTATTGCCAACATTCCCTCTCCCCAAGTTCAAAGCCAAGTGAAATGCCCACTGCTGAATCTCCTCCCACTACTCTTTACCATAGTACCTGGTGCCAAGTACCAGTCCGACACTAGAGATTATTCATGAAAAAAGGACAAATGTCCACACTGGCGATGATTCCAGAAAATTGAGCTTTTCCCTATAGTCAGGCAGACAGAACTGCAAATCGAGCCACTGAAAAGGCCAAACTCGAAATACTTTTCGTAGACATCTCACATGCCAAAATTTGCAGGACTCATCCCCGTCAGAGACTTGGAAACAGCTCATTTTAATTCTCTAAAGAAAATGCTTCCCATGCAACTTCCAAGTAGTTAAGAGCTAAGATTAAAACATCAAGAAGAACCTTAGACTACCGGTTTGCACCTTCACCTCAATTTTCCGTAACTGACGGAAAGTACCTTTGCAGGAATGCAGCCAGCCCTGGGATGCTACACCCTAGTCTACATAGGCTTAGGACCAGGCAGACCTCAGAAGCGCTGTTGGTTATGTTTTCCTTTTTACTAAACTCACAAACTTTCACAGGCTAATACTTACACATTCATCTTTAGTTAACAGCCATCAGCTGCCCATCCTTCTTTCCCTTGTTAATAGCACTGCCAGGTGAGTTTTAGTTTCTCTTCACTAACTATCCCCACTCCCTGAAAAGCCTCTCCCCCACTCCAATCAAGTGCCAGGCAGAGACAGGCTCAGCCTTCAGTAGGTAACTCGATCCCCAAACCTAAAAGCTTTGGGTACATGGCCGGGGGATAAGCAGGCAACGCCCAGCGCCCTTCCACCCTTCCAAACGTTCCCACCTAGCAGACAGTGGCACAGTAGCATGGAGTTTTTCCAGTTACAGGAGAAAAGAAAAAACGAAAAACCTTGCCCTTGACCTCCTCTCGCCACAAGGCCTTCCCCTGCCCCTGCGTCGCTGCTCCCGACTCCGACAGAGGAGTAAAAGCCGCAGCCGCAGTTGCGGCTGCCACCCCCGCAGCGGCTGCGGTCCGCTCCGCCGCAAGCACGAGATGCCCTCACCTCCGCACCCCGAGCCTGAGCCAGCTGCAGCGCTGGAGGCTGAAGCTCCGGCTCCCAGGCTTTCCCCTCTGGCGGCTGCCGACGCCAGTCGGGCTGCTCGGGAGATACAGAGATGCCTAACACCTCTGCGCTCCCTCTCCCCTTCTCGCCCCTCTCTCCCAAAGTCGGAGGCGCGGCGGCCGCAGGGCCGCTACGCCTTACCAGCCAAGCCAAGCCCAAGCGAAGGCTCAGGCCCGCCCTCTCCAGCGCAGACCTTTTATAGAGCCTCCCTTCCTCCCCCACCCAGCGTTAGCTCGCTAGCCCAAATAGTTGCTCCTCCCCTCGGCCCAACCGCCGAAACCCTCCCTTCTCCTGCGTACCGATTCCCACCCCGGCGGGCAGTGCAACCTTTCTGAACCCCCAGCGTGGCCCGGTTTTTCTGCGGAAGGTCTTCGAGTGGGCAATAGGTTATTCTCAAAATACCGATCTCACACCCGTTCTGTAGGAGCCCTTCAGCAAGGCAATAGGTTCTTCTTGAAAAGGGAGGGAAAGGGTAAAGGAGAAAAACCTGGAGTTAATTCGGCTGGAGAGGCGCGTTCAAGAAGTGACTGCATTTCAGTGGAGAAGGACACACAGACTGGCCCTTTAAATACTGTCCTTCAGGGCAGGGATTTTGTGTGGCATCCATCCATGGCATCCATTATCGAGCATTTATCAAGTGCTATATGCTGTACTAAACAAGCTACTTTGGACTAAAGAAGACTTGAACCTTCAACTGACCCAGGTCACTTTCAGCATATTAGGTAGTTAGTTATCTAGGACTGCGGTACAGTTGCTGATCTGCACTGGGAGAAGGAATTTCCTTATAGACACTTTCCCTGAACCCCATCTGAGGTCTCTAATGTTCCCTTACTCCATTTTGGGGTACTAGAAGCTGTATGATCATTATTTCCCTTTCCCCTCCTCTACACTTCAATGCATGAGCTACCTGAACACTTTATATTCGCGAGTGAGTATATACCTTAAAGAAGTTTGGAAATTAACTTACTTATGGGTCCTCAGGACGGTGACCTTCCCAAAAGAAAATGTCAATTAAAATTTAGTGAATGAATGCCCACAACATTAAAGCCCTTATTCAGGCTATAGTGAATTAATCTACAGATTATTACTGTAATCAAATAAATGTATGGTAAGCCTGCAGAAGTCTGAAAAAAATACATTTTCAGCCTGGTAAAACAAAAAAGTGAAAGAATATTCTTCGTTCAGTATGTACCTTTTTAATTTTAATCTTGAATCTGGTGCTTTAAGATTTTCTAATGGGAAATAAGAAAAATGTTAGCTACATTTAATAATTCCACTTGACAGATTTTATTAAACATGGTCAGCAGCTACTCCTTTACATTTAGAAGATCCTTTACAAATAAGATTAATTGTGAGTCCTGGATTGAGGAATTAAGAAGTATTTTAGATAAAAGATATAAACAGAGAAAGTTCAAGAATATAATCAGGGGAATAGTGATCAGTTTTGAAATCTTGTCCAAAAAATACAGAGGATGTTATTTAATTCAACATTCCTTTATATTATGTTTTGCCATTGATAACCTTACTTTTATAAGATTTTGTATGTGTTTTGCAGCAGTAATAATTTACACTAATGTTTCATTTTAGTAGCAAGTCCCTGAGTGCATATGTGGCTTAATGGAGGGACAAACCCTAGATTATTCATTTTCATCATCACTCACAGCCAGAAGAAGATAAACAGATGCTGCAGAATGTGAGAGAAGAACACTGTGCTGTTTTCCATGACTGCACAATAAACAGGGGCCATAAAAAGAGAAACAATGAACATGACTCCTTTTGTTCAGTAGGCTGGCCTGGATTTGGCAGGATTTCTATAAATAGAGGCCCCATAGTTTTTTCTTGAACTATTTTCAATTCAATGCAACAAACATTCATTAAGTGTCTAGCATGTACAAGTCACTGTGAAATGCTGAAGATAACAAACAGAAAAATGAGAGTAGCCCAATTCTCAAATATCTTATATTCTACTGGATAAACACAATATTTTAATCCAAAATTCAATCCAACAGGCTCAATCACTGGGGACACAAAAACAAAAATAAAAATTGAGTCCCCCAAAGATCCAAGTTTTTGTAACAAGAATTCAGTATATTCACAAAAATTGTTAAGAAAACTGGAAAGCAGTTTGACAGAAACTAGGTATAGGCCAACATCTCACACTGTGTGCCAGGATAAGGTCAAAACTGGTACATGATTTAGACATAAAGGGTGATATCATAAGCAAATTAGAAGAGCATGGAATATTTTACCTGTCAGATTTATGGATAAGGGAAGACTTTATGAAAAAAAAAGAGGTAGAAAGCATTATGGCATGTAAAATGGATAATTTTGACTGCATCAAATTAAAAAAAGTTTTGCACAAACAAAACTAATGGAACCAAGATTAGAATAAAAGCGAAAAACTGGGGAAAATATTTTACAGCAAGATCTGTGACAAATGTTTTATTTCTCAAATATATAGAGAACTGAGTCAAATTTATAAAAACACAGGTCATTCCCCAATTGATAAATGGTCAAAGGATATGAACAGGCAGTTTTCAGAAGAAGAAGTCAAAGCTATCTATAGAAATGTGAAAAAATGCTCTAAATCACTTTTGATTAGAGAAATACAAATTAAGACAACTCTGAGGTATCATGTGACATCTATCAGATTGGCTAAAATGACAGGAAAGGAAAATAACGATTACTGGAGGGGATATGGAAAATAGGGACACTCATGAATCAGTTAGTAAACTGATCTAACCATTTTGGAGAGCAATTTAGAACTATGGCCAAAGGGCTATACAATCATGCATACCCTTTGATCCAGCAATTCTAGGTTTGACCCCAGAGATCAAAGAAAAAAGGAAAATTCTTATACTCTGTGTAAAAGAATAGTTATAGCTGCTCTTTCTGTAGTGGCAAAGAATTAGAAAATGAGGAGATGCCCATCAACTGGGAAATGGCTGAAGAAATGACGGTATGTGATTATGATGGGATACTATTGTGCTATAAGAAATGATGAGCAGGATGCTTTCAGAAAAACCTGAGAAGACATATGAATTGATGCAAAGTGAAGTAAGCAGAACTAGGAAAACAGTAATCCAATACTGTATGATGATCAACTGTGAATGACTTAGCTATTCTCAGCAATACAATGATCCAAGACAATTCTGAAGGACTAATGATGAAAAATGTTATCCACCTCCAGAGAAAGAACTGATGGAGTGTAAATACAAATTGAAGCATACTTTTTTTTTACTTTCTTTATTATTCTTGGGGTTTTTTGGTATGTGTTCTGTGTTTTCTTCTGCAACATAATTAAGATGGAAATATGTTTTGCATGACTGTGCATATGGTCTATATCAAATTGCTTGCCTTCTCAGGAAGAGGAGAGGAGAAGGGAGAGAGGGAAGGAGAGAATATGAAACTCAAAATTTTAAAAAAGAATGTTAAAATTTTTGTTTACATGTAATTGAGGGAAAAAAATAAAAATTAAATATGTTTTTTGTTTAAAGAGTCCCTACCCTAAAGGAGCTAATGTTTGATTTGAAGGGTATGCCAAGGCAGGAAATAGCATGTTGATTCAGGCAGAATAGACAATAGTCTATATGATGGTAATATAGGGAGTGTGTGAAAGGAGATAATACGAAATAACATAGGAAAAGTAGATAGGACCTAAGTTGTAGAGAATCTTAAATGACTGACTGAGTAGTTTGTCACCAAAGATTTTTAAATAGTATAATGAAATAGTCAGACCTGGGCCTTGGAAGATTATTTTGGCTATTGTATGGAGCAGTAATGTCAAACAAATAGAAATGGATCCTGCAGGCCACATATTGACTTAGAAAACCTCAAATTAACATGTGTAATTGTATTTTTATTTATTTTGTTAAGCATTTCCCACTTAAATTTTAATCTGGTCCCAAAGTTTTCTGTGTTTTGACACCTCTGGTATGGAAGATAAATGAAAGGAGCCTGGAAATGCGAAAAGCGATCAGGAAGCTGTTACAATTCCAAATGACAAGAGCTTGAAGTAGGACAAATACTCTGTGAATTGATAGAAGGAGACTTGTTCACTGGTGACATGAACAGTCTTGGGACATCTTCCAAGTCTGAAGAGCCCTGACTCTTGACTTTTTATGCCTTTAGGTGACCAGAAAGCCATGGCAATATAGTTACGGGCTACCAGGAAGCTGCATCAATGAAAATGTGGCTTGAGCCATAGGCCTCTAAGTCAATCAAATCCTGGGAATAGCCTTTTAGGGAAACAACAACAACAACAACAACAACAAAACCCAACAGCCTGATTTACATAGGGGAAGGAATCCTGATAGTGAACCTATCACAGAAGGAAATTCCAAAACAACATTTTGATCTTTCTCTGCAAAGAAATGCTTTTTCAAATAAACTTGAGGAAGCCTTATATAATATTTCATTCTCACAGAACTAAACAGCTTAAATTCTGTCTAGTCCTTTCCATTCTTAGGACATACAGTTTTTCAGATTCACTAAGTTTTTCAGCAGCCAGAAAAATGTTTGAAATTGTATCCAGAATAATCAAAACAATTTTTCTATCTTTTGCAGTTAAAAGGTTGATTATAGATTTCAGAATGTTAATTGTTCCCCCACTTAGCTATTTTATGACCACCCATAAAGCTCCTTTCTGTGACTTTGAGACTCACTTTGAACAAATTCCAACCAGGTAAGGAAATTGTCTATGATAAACAACTTGGTTGGTTCTGATAGCCATTATGTTTGATATTGTCCATGCAGCCTCTTTCTGGATGTTGGTTTGGGGGGTAAATTCATTACAGTCTGAGTTTGTTCATATGTCCCAGAAACAATTTTTCCTATAGCCATTAAGGAAGGAGTAGAACTACTGATAATTCACCTGACCCTACAAGTTTCACTGTCTATGGCATTAACTCCCATTTTCACCCACTTCAATCCAGCCTTTAGGACCATCCATGAGGTAGAAAATGGCACAACAGGTATCTGCCACAACTTCTGGATCATAATGATGTAGGAGCTGAACTAAAGTGAGAAGAATTTGCTCAATACTTCTACTGAGTGAGCAAGGTCAATATAGGATAAAGATTTGAATGTGTACATGTAATATATAAATAAACACATGCTGATAATGATATATCAGGAATTATAAGCAGAGTGAGAAAAGGGGTCTATTGA